GCCAGCAAGGTGGAGGTGGGGTACTGGTATGGGCTGGTATTATTAAAGATGAGCTAGTTGGACCTTTTCGGGTTGAAAATTGACTCAAAATCAACTCTCAGACCTACTGCCAATTTTTAGAAGACACTTTCTTCAAGCAATGGTACAGGAAAAAGTCTGCATCTTTCAAGAAGACTTTGATTTTTATGCAAGACAACGCTCCATCACATGAATCAAAGTACTCCACTGCGTGGCTGGCCAGTAAAGGCCTTAAAGATGAAAAACTAATAACATGGCCCCCTTCTTCACCTGACTTAAACCCTATTGAGAACCTTTGGGCCCTTCTTAAGCAGGAAATTTACAGTGAAGGTAAACAGTACACCTCTCTGAACAGTCTCTGGGAGGCTGTGGTTGCAGCTGCACAAAAAGTTGATTCTGACCAGATCAAAAAACTGACCGACTCTGTGAATGGAAGGCTTGTGACGGTTATCGAAAAGGGTGGCTATATTGGTCACTGAGGTTTTCTGTTTGGAATTTCGGAACTGTTTATTTGTAAATTATGAGTTTGTTTATTATTCTCACTTTAACAGGTGAAAATAAATAAGTGAGATGGGAAAATCTTTGTTTTTTTATTTAGTTGCATGATAATTCTGCGCACTAATAGTTGCCTAATAATGGTGTACATGTAGATATTCTCTTAAGAAGCCAAAACTTCACTTTTACTACTTAAATGTTCAGGTTTGAGGGTTTGTTAACATTTTGGATTGACCAAGAGCACTGTAGTTATGCAATAACAAAATTAATCCTCAAAAATACAACTTGCCTAATAATTGTGCACACAGTGTACACTGTTAGATGTGTTATATTCCAGGATCTAGCCACAGGGGTTTCACGTCAGTGACGTCGTTTGTGCCCTTCCCAAGCCCGGGTAAATAGAGAGGGTTGTGTCAGCAAGGGCATCCGGCGTAAAACCGCGCCAAATTTAATCCTGTGAATCAGATTTGCTGTGGCGACCACTAACGGGAACAGCCGAAGGTAAAGTAGTAGTAGATGTGTTATCAGGGTATATACAGTAATCCTTAAGTTAAATTTAATACCTTTAAATACCTTTTTTTTTACTACCTTTGAATTTTTTTTAAAACCATCATGACACTGAGTTTAAAGTGTTAATCTGCGACCTTATTAACATTGAAGCAGATTGACATATATAACACTATATACAACAGAATAGATTTAGAGACTCGCTGATGTTGACCACATATTGCACACATTTATTTCACTTCGTGAATAAAAATAAAACAAACTACATAAAATGTGCAATGAAGAGAACAGTTGCAGCACCCTGGCTGGCATTCGCTGCTACAAACTGGCATCTGCTATATGAACTGGTGAACTGCTATTATTTGATTTTAACATAAACCTGTGCTATAGGCCTAATATGAACTCATGGATGTCAAGCTGTTTTTTTCTTTGACACCTGATTGAGGCTCTCATCAAACATCAACACGAATAGCCCAGCCTTGTTGATGCCATTGACAAGCTGTTTTATGAAGAACAATGCAAATCCAAATCTGATGATGTACAGTACCTGGTGTTGTCTTTACCACACGTGAATGACTTCGCGATGTCGGAGTCGGGAAACATTTCTTTAAACAGCTCCACAAGTCCTTCGTTGGAGTTCAATGAGTGGTGTTTAACTGCAGTGTTTAGACACCACAGAGCCTCCGCCTGCAGTGTTGGTGTGGCACCCATAGTCACCCGGAGGTCAGATGTATTTGCTGGAGCCGTAATGTTGGCTTGTACTGTGGCACTAGTTTTCGGTAGTGGTGGTGGTGGTGCAGCAGCACAGAAAGTTGAGAGTAGTAGAGACCGCGCATTCCATTTTTATGTTTAGTGGAGTGCATATGTGACCGAAGTGCGTTAGCTCCCATCCAGTTGACAATGACAATGGGCCTGAAAACCTTAGAAATCTGCTATCTAATCATATAGTTACTTTAGATGACATAGCTCTCGCCTCCAGTACTACTGTGAGGAACCTTTGAGTCATTCTTGACCAGGATATGTCCTTTAAATCACACATAAACCAAGTCTCTAGAACTGCCTTCTTTCACCTGCGCAATATTGCAAAAATCAGGAGCATCCTGTCTCAAAGTGATGCTGAAAAACTGGTCCATGCATTTGTTACTTCCAGGCTGGACTACTGTAACTCTTTACTATCAGGATGTCCCAATAATTCCCTAAAAAGCCTCCAGTTAATCCAAAAGGCTGCAGCCAGAGTACTGACAGGAACTAGCAAGAGAGATCATATCTCTCCCATATTAGCTTCTCCCCACTGGCTCCCTGTAAAATTCAGAATAGAATTTAAAATCCTTCTCCTAACATACAAAGCCCTTAATAACAAGGCTCCAT